AGACCTTAGTTTTACTCAGAACTCCAGACGTGGTCGCGCTGAGGGCGAGTATGAAGGTAGTTTTGCGTGAAACATACTTCATTGCTTTCAGGGGGTGGGAGAGAGTGGTTCGTATTCCAGGAGACGGGAAGATAGGCTTTTCCGGAACTTGAACTGGCCTTATTATCATTTATATCTTTTCCCGCTTGTTTTCTGCTGTTTCGTATTTCTTATGTTTGTGAAGATATGAAGACTGGAGTGGAGAGGAAAGGTAGGTCGACCACGGATTCGATATTATCGAAAGCGATCCGTCGATATGTCCTCGATACTGAATAGCCGCCCTCTGTCGTTCTGTTTCAACTTTCGTGAAGTTCGTCGTAAGTTCCTGGCGATGCATTGAGATGTCTGTCTGTTTGTTGCAGGTGTCCCTGTGTGACGACTACAGTTTCCCAGTCGATTTCGTCAACAAAAGAAGGCCTCACAGTTTTGGGGCTGGTCTTGCCAACTGGACTACGCCCAATCCCAATGGGGAAAAGGTAACACAGAATATACCATCACTTCATCGACCTCAGATTTCTTGCAGAGACTCGTGTTTTTGCGTTCAGTCGAGTTGAATTTTGGCTGTTGGTTTAACTCTGTGGGCCAAAGCCCTTATTATGAAGCAAATAGTTTCTCAGCTGGTCATGTACCGTGCTCACAAAAGTCCGCCACTGAACATGAAGCAGTAACTCGCCTTCACGCTGTGTTTATTTAAGACACATTTTAATAATATCCACTCAGCTACGTCTAGGTCTCGTAACTGGTTTCCTGCATTTATGTTTCCTACCAAATTTTGCTTCGCAATTTTTGTCTCCCCTCTGACCATTTGATGTCCCGTTCCTTGACTTGGTCATTATAATATTTGGCGTAGAGTACAAATTTTTATTTTAATTAGTGTTCTGTCTGACGACAGGTCCATATGAACAGGATCCTTCCATCCTTTTCTCGGACTGGGACCTGTTCATATACGTTCTTGGCAGATGATCCAGAAGTGGTTTGCCATTGCCTTCTTCTGCGTGTGATTTTTTTTAGTGTTCTGTCTGACGACAGGTCCATATGAACAGGATCCTTCCATCCTTTTCTCGGCCTGGGACCTGTTCATATACGTTCTTGGCAGATGATCCAGAAGTGGTTTGCCATTGCCTTCTTCTGTGTGTGAATGGAGTAATTGTTGGGATGCCACGGAGGAAAACGCCGTGTTGCCTAGACCACGGCCTTGCCCAACACAAGTTATAAATTCGGGCACCGCCGGGAATCGAACCCGAGACCCCCAGGATTACAAGGCCAAGGTCATTATGAAGCCATTAATTCTGCATTTTATCTTCTTGTCGTGTTATTTAGTTTATCTGTTAAGGTCCAGATGTTCTTAGAATCCTATTAATCCTGTCTTATCATTAAAATCCGGTTCTGTGTTTTATTTTCAAGTGTAGAACAACTTCAACTCATTTCGTGACCCAACTCCAATCCGGGGCTACTTCTCGCTCACTAGACAGTCCTGCAATCTGTTCCAAGAGGAAAAAGATTTATAGCAAAGTCGTTCTGTCGATTATTTTAGAACGATTCGTTCTTCTTATTCTTCCCCCTTTTGTTACGTGGCAAAGGGAGACACCCTTCTTCGGAAGTGACGACAGAACAAAGCGAAAAAGCAGTAATTAAACGTCTTTTGGTGGGGATAAAAGGGAACCGGTTCAGGGGTAAGACGTGATAAAGGTCGATTGGAATTATAAGAGGCGTAACTGAAGTACCTTTGTGCTTTTAATAAGTCTTTGACTGCAGTTTGTATGATGAATGTTCACGAGATTGAGCTAGTGGAAGAGATTGGTTGATTCTTTGTTTATATAGAATTATTTATACGTTTATTGGCTACGCTTAATATACAGTGAAGTAAATTTAAAATGACGGTGGAACTAAAATCTCTACAAAGAAATAATTTCGTTACACTCCCATGTACATTGGTTTCCACTGGGATCTTAGAAATATAAAAGTTTTGATGATACACGCCCGCGTAAAAGACCAAGGAGAATCTCAAGGAACCACTCGAAATGTTTGGATTCTGTGGTGTGGTTGAGATAATATTAAATTGGAGCTTGAATACGCAGTGTGGAATGCGTGTACTGGATTCAGCTGGCTCAGAGTTAGGTTCCAGTGGTTGAGTTTGTAAATGTGATGACGCCTTCGGTTACGTATTAGTCGAGCAATTTATGAATCACTTTAGGGTCAAAGTACCTTGCTTTTGTACTATCTCGCTTACAAGCTTCGCCCTTCTTGGGGTCAGGTATTATCATTTGGGCTTTCTTTTGAAACGTTTTTAACCACGTTGTGCCCCAAGATGACGAACTTAATAATTCCGGGTAAGTGCTTCGATTTTGCTATTCGAAAAATAGTACAGATGTTGATTATTGTACTTGGTTTATATCAGGATTTTAATTTTTTTGAATTTGTTTGTACTAAATGAACACTTTGGACGAAGATTTTTACACAAATGTTTGACGGGAAGGCGCTTTAGAAACGCCAGTAATCAGTTAACAGAGAATGCGTTTTGAAATTACATCTCCTCCAAATGCTACAGACCTTCTTTACAGTTTGAAACTCAGCGTGTGTATAAATCGAAGCTCATTTCGTATCAAATACGTCCGATATGAGTTTCCTGCGTCATTAGGCACATTTTGACTATCATTTTAGTGTTTGAAAATGCAGTTGCACGCCGAGAGGAGTCGTAATTTGGAATATACAGTTTATAAGAGGAAATTAGCGTATGTTATGCAAGAATGGTTCCGAAGGATTGCTAGTTATTTCCTAAATCTTATTATATTCCTGCACTAATTATAGATAATTTTAAAGAACACTGACGAGGTTATTTGTGGTGGCGTAGCGCAAATTGCATGGGGCTGAACGCCACTCTGTGACTCTAGTGGAGGTCAGGTTCCACGCATTCTTAGAGTCATGCACACTGGAATGTACTGTTGGGTAAAATGATCAGAGCGAAGAAGATAATTTAATACATTACACTGTTTAGCGTCAATTTAGAAATATTCCCTTGAACCAGAACCAAAAATGTTTCATTTCCGTGTAATGGTTTTGTAAGCAACCGAATATTAAATTATTACTGGCGTTAAATGAGCCTTTCGAATATAAATTAATGAGATTCTCTCCCCTCCCAGTTGCCTAGGTTAGGGGACTTGCAGTGGTCACTCATAGAATGAGCCGTGAGTCGCAACGAATCCATATTGTGGAATTTATTCCTTCTACAAAAACTCTGTTTCAGCTGATATAACATCCCTTACACTTAACATTGCCCTATCTCCAGTACCAGTTGCCATAGGAGTTTCAATAAAACGGCACAGAGCAGATGAAACAAGATATATATATATTCCTTTTTATTGAAGCCATGAGGGATTTCTTAAGTTGCTTTGATTTGACTTTTTACAAGCTGATTTCATGTTAATTGAATTTCTAGGCTAAGTTGAATGAAACTGCGGAGGATAAGGGAATGTGGGGGGGGGGGGGGGGGGGAAAGGGACTACAAGACTGGTCTCATAATTGGAAGGGAAGATATACAGAAACTGTATGGAAGATAATTCTTGTGAGGAAAAAGGTTTTATGTAAGAAAGTAAATATGTGCAATTCATTACAGCGTGTAACTGGAGACTTACTGAAAATTGTCTGGTGCTGAAGACGATGAAAGGAACAAATCACGAAGGAGAAGCTCAGTTCTCTGATATGCGTCTCCTGTCACGATTTCTTTCGTCTCGTTAATTCAGAGTTCTTTCTAATGATGCTTCGTTTTCTATGGCGACGTCTGTGAGGAATACCCAGACTCAGGAGTAGACGGTACGGAAGATTGCCTTCATCTGCTTCTCGGTAAACGAAATTAAGAAATTGAATCTTGTCATTCTGTCGCAGTGAGATGGTTTACGTATGTAAAAGGGTATTACCATTTAATTTGCAATACGATGCATGAAGCTAATGTATATGAGATAAATGGTGTCCGTCCGTCCGTCCGTCGCTGTCTACGTTTTATTTTTGATGTTGATGAACAGATTCAGATTAAATTTTGTATACACGATCTAATCTAGGAGTTGTTGGTCACGTTTAGGTTCGTACTGATCCCAATTTTACGTTAAGCTATAATCAAACTCCGTAGATTTTCTTTTTTTAAAAAAGGATTATGGCACAAAATTATAAATGTAGACTTTATTAAAATATAAACTTTTTTAGATAACTTAGTGAATGGCCGATTTCGAATACACTGTGCTGAAAACTGGTACACATTTACATTTTCATTCGTTTGTAAATTAAAAATTACTAAAAAGAATTTGCGATGTAGGAACAGAGGGAATGTGCAGGAGAGTTGGGACCAGAAAGAAATGAATATAGAAACACGGAGAGAGAAGGGCGAATCATAATTTGCATATTTACGTCAGACACGGAATTAAACATTCTCAATTTTAATTCCTACTTTAGAATCCATAAACATCGTTGTAAGACAGCGAAGCTATTTGAAGAATTTCGCTTCGGAATACTTTTTAAGTGACATGGACTTCGAAGCCAGGTTCGTACTCTTCGATCGTGCCTTAGACAAGTTTATATTCTTTATATACTTTTGCCTACCAGGATCTTTGTTCGGGTGTGAGTCTCTGCTGTGCCGTATCCTCGATCTGAACCAATCAACTTTGACCCCCCGAACATCCCGCCTCGTCATGTTCCTCTGCCCATATCCAGCAGACACTTTATTTCAACGTCGTGCTGAAACGCGGTGTATCAGGATTTACGATTCTGCGGGTTAGCCGATATTCAGGAGAAAATGTGGCGGCCTGTAGCAAAAGGCGTAAGCAATGTGATTGGCTGATCTCTGCAACGTAGATCATCGCTGTTATTTGCTCACTGAATTGGTTTATCGGGGTTCGTGAATCATACGGAGTCAGAATCGACAGTGAAGTCGTAAATGGGCCTAACTCGTGGTCTAATGTGTCATTTAAGTCAGTTTAAAAATGTATCTGGGACATTAGTAACAAATGGAAACGAAGTCGTAATCATATTTGGAGAAAAAACAAATGCCGGAAACGGCCTGTGCTGTTATTGAGTTCTCAAACTCTTATCATCCTGTCTGCTTTTCCGAATTTAATCAAAATCATCTTCGTTGAAGGGCCTGGACTCTTCATCATGTCGAAGTACAGACAGACAGGCGATATTGATGTCGTGCGTTAATTTGAAACACTTTGCGCAAATAATGCTCGACGGGATAGCGGTCAGTGGGCATGATGCTCACGCCGAATTTCCTCAACATCAGGCAGTTCAACAGTTTCTTCTTGGAGGTCAACGAGCACGCTCTTGCGGTTACAAAGCGAGTCGCTCATTTGTTGTGAATTATGAAGTAAGTAAGATAACTCAGATTTGAGGTTCTCGTCCACATAAAACCCGGAACAATGCGACTCACCAACATGGCCGACTGTTTGACGCCTTTCTCCATGGAGCCGACAGTCGCTCAGCGACTCAAGAAATTCCCACGCATTTTACGGAACCCGGAGGTTCATTACCGCGTCCACAAGAGCCCGCCACTTGTCACTATCCTCAGACACATGGTTCCAGTCCATACCAAACCATCCTATTTATCTAAGATCAATTTTAATATTATCCTTCCATCTACATCTCTTTCCTTCTGGTTTTTCCCACCAAAACCCTGTATGCATTTATCTTCTCTCCCACACGGTCTACATGCCCTGCCCATCTCATACTCCTTGACTTGATCAGTGTAATTTTATTTGGTGGTGAGTAAAAATTACGAAGTTCTTCATTATGTAACTTTCTCCAGTCTCCTAGTAATTCATCCCTCTTGGGGCCAAATATTCTTTTTCCTAAGCAGCCTGTTCGGAAACGCCCTCGGTCTACGTTCCTTCCTATGTGTCAGATACCAAGTTTCACACCCATACAAAACTACAGGAAAAATTATAGTTTTGTGTATTTTAATCTCTACGTTTTTAGATTGCAGACGAAATTTCTGAACTGAATGTTAGCAAGAATTACTCGAATTTAATCTGATGTCGATTTTCTCATGAATGAAATTTTGATTCGTTACTGCCTTAAAGAATTCCAATGGAAGTTTCCGGAATTTCGCAACCGGATTTCTGAAACGCACGAAACATTAATTTTAAATGGTTGACTGGAAAGGGATCTTATTTGAATTCCAGGCTCTTCTAATTCCTTGTACTTTTTAGATCGGACCCTTTTGGACCTCAGAAATTCTTCTTCATGAAACTTCCAGCTTCCGTTCAGTCATGCAGACTTGAAATTCGATGAAACTTATTCTGTGGTTTTGTCTAGTTAATTTTTACGTTCTCTTTGACCTCGTGTGAAAAGAGAAAGCTGCTTTCTCTCAAAAGGGAGAAAATGAGAGCGAGACAGACACCGGCAAAAATAGCATGGAATTGTAGGGATATTTTACATTTTCATATTGCTTCCAGACAGTCGAGTTAAGTATTAAATATCACATGAAAAATGTTGTTATTGAAAATTCCTTCAGGGTTTCTACATTTGTGTTCCAGGAGAACTGAAATAGGGTTTTGGACGCGCCCAGCCATATTTTCCTGTGCTTCTAAATGATAGGCCACAGACCTATTTTTGGCTCGAGTGTTATATTAACGGTTTAAAATGGTACCTATATGCCACGTGCTTTAACATTCAGTAAACTGTACTTCGCTCACGTAATGTATTTATTTATGGATTTCGTGTGACTCTCATATTAAACGTTGATAATTTCCGCAAACAGCTTTTAATCAGTTTATATTTGTCATAAATACGCGTTTTTCTATTTTCTGAGGCGAGAAT